TCAGCCAATTCAGCCAAGTTTCAGCAAGCCGAACGGGTCCTATGAATTGGACATACATCTACTTATTATTAGGTAGGATGAAAACGGTTGAACAAAAGCGGACTAACGTGGTGTCAAAATTACGAACAGAACTCAGTGGTTTAGCTATTTGGTAGTAATTCAGCCCAAAATGATACGTACGGCCAAAGTCTCAAAGCAGTTGTAAATTAAGTGAAGCATATTGCTTGTTTTTCACCTAGGACGCAAGGACTAGCTAGGACCTAGGAGTGTTTTTTATCCGGGCTGTCTTTGTTTTAATTAACAGAATGTGCGTAGGTAGCACAGTGATGAATCACATTATTATAAACACAAACCATCTGCCTTATATTATTCAAGGGACATGTTATTGGCTTTTTTAAAAGCCGAGTTAATCTCCTTTAAAAAAATTCAAGGGACATTTTATTTGAGCAGTTAATACTATTTGATTAACAACTATTTTCTAGTTATTACAGAAGGGATAGCAAACTGAATTTTCTGACATGGTTAACCTTTTGTACTAAGCAAGTCAGAGTAACCGTGCACTAACACACTGATTCTTCATGCTTCAATTAGTATATTGTGTGCCTAGCTAGCAGCTAGCTTATAGTAACAACATTACTTTCCAATTTCCATTTTCAAATACTTGACATCTAGATCTAGGCATGCGAACCAACATATACATTATTTGTCTTGATAAAAACTACGATTAAGTCCATTTTTGGCCTCTCAACTATTGTGTCGGTCTAATTTTAACCCTCAACTACAAAACCGTCTAGTACCGGTACCCCAACTGTCAAAACCGTTCACTTTTAGCATCTGGACGGGGGCAAGACTGTTTTGACCGACGTTGAGCGGTTTTGACACGCAACCTCCATCTCAATGACATGTAGGGCCCACGCATCATCGACTCAGTCCCTCACTCTACCGTCGCGCTCTGCCGCGCCCGCGTCGAGCTGCTCACCACGACCGTCGCTACACGCTCGTCGTCCGCTACCGCCACCCCCACCACCACATGTTCCCACCTCACAATCCCACAACCCAAGAAAGCAGCACCACCACCACCGCGCGGATCTGACCTCCAACACCATCCAAGGAACGATCCAAGCTCCAGAGCCGCTCCCAAGGCCGGAAGGAGGCAGGCAGCAGAGGAGGAGGCAAGCCATGGCGGTGGACCTGATGTCCTGTGGGGCGGCGAGGCCGGGCGTCGGGCAGTGTGCGTTCAGAGGCGGACGCTGCGGGGGCTGTCAGGCAGCCTGACCGAGCCTGGCTTCTTCTTCTGCTGCCGTCCCCGTGCGTCATGCGGGAGGGGCGAGTCGCCGCCGCTTCGGGTAGATCGCCGACCAGCGGTGTCCTGTTCCGCCACATGCCCACCACCGCCACGCCAAGAGAGAGAGAGAGAGAGGCGAAGGCTCTGGAACAACTAGGAGTGCACGAAATGTAGCAGCGGGGCGGGGACGCCGCGGTGAGCACGGAAAGCTTGCGAAGACATGGAACACCGCGCGGCGGGAATGCAGTACACCATGCCGTCGAACTTGTTGTTCCCGCCACTACAGACGCAGCGCACGGGCAGCCCCGAATCAAGTCGACGTCGTGAGACCTTGTACTCGGCGGCGAGCCGCCGACGGCGACGAAGTTGGGCCGGCGTCGGCCAGTAGTGGAAACGACTTGGGCGCCATTGTACTCCTCCAACCTCCTCAGCCACATGGGCGGGCGGCGTGTCTGCCGATGATGGCTTTCTCTGGCGAGTTCAGCGGCCAGCCTGGGGCCGCCAGAGCATCCTCACGGCACGCCATGAACACCGCCGGATGAGGTTGTTGGCGACGGCGGGGCGGCAATGGGTCGAGGCGAGTAGGCGAGCACGATTCAGGCAAGACAAGACGGCGAAATGGCGGTGATGTCGGGGGCCTAGCTCACGGGCGCGGGAGACAACACCAGATGTGCGCGCGCCAGGACCGAACGTGGAGAAAGGCTTGGCGAAGCAGAATGAACGGTGGCGACGGCCATGGCGAAAGCATCTCAACAAGGCGCGCGCAGAGAGCGACGACGACCTCCTCGCCGCCATCGGCGCTAGTTGGCTGCAAATTGCAAGGCGCGCCTTTCGAGGTCCGAGTGAAGTGGAGCAGACAGGCAGAGGCCGTGAGGATGGAGAGTGAGGGACTGAGTCGATGATGCATGGGCCCCACATGTCATTGAGATGGAGGTTGTGTGTCAAAACCGCTCAACGTCGGTAAAAAAAAAGCCTGGCCCCCGTCAGGTGCTAAAAGTGAACGGTTTTGACAGTTGGGGTACCGGTACTAGACGGTTTTGTAGTTAAAGGTTAAAATTAGACCGACACAATAGTTGAGGGGTCAAAAGTTGACTTAATCCTAAAAACTATGATAATACCCTTGTCCTCTTATGTTTATATATAATAATCTTTTAGAACTCAAGAAACTTGTAATAATGAATTAGTAAAGGCTAAATTTTAAATGTAGTCCCAACATAGTGTAAAGCTGAAAAAAAATCTAGTTTATTGTCGAGCTTTACTAAATTAAAAAATGAGTGTACGTAAGCGTTGGAAAACGGAGGAAGCATTTTCAATAGGCTAGGAGTTTCAGAAACAACCAGTGGAATGATTCTGCTGAAATCTGACGAAACAAGCCCTTTGCTTGTCCTCATCCTCAATATAAAAAAAATCTATATCTGTAAAATAAAAAAGTTGATATTGTTGGGAGGACGACACGTGAGATGCGGGCGGAATATGCTGCTCCCGCTTGCCTGTGGGCCTGCTCTGTTTCGTCCTCTTTCTCGCCGATGGACCCGGAGCGAAACGGAGTGGTATCTCTGTGGCCCTATATGTGTCCGTCAAATTATTGAATGCTTCAAACCCGGAGCGTGCATCTCGTTGGGATGAGATGTGACCGTGATGCTGATCCACCGACGAGAGGATCTCTGTAGCCCTATATGTGTCCGTCAAATTTGTTGGCAAATACAAGGCCGACAGCGCCGCAAAATATCCCACCTGACAAGCAAACAGTGCCTTCTAGAGACATGCGGTCGCTGGGCACCCCCAGCCCAGCCCAGCCCAGCCCAGGTGAAAAGCAGTTACTGGGATTTTGATCAAATCGGCTGCAGGTAGCTAGATTATGAGCCCAGCCCACTAACGATATGATACATGAGACGGCCCATGGCCATGATTCGACTTGGACGGCACACCGCACACGGCCGCCTCGTGCTCGTGCACCCTGCCGCCACTCACGTCCAAGTTGTGTGGCGACCCACGCACGATCCACAAGCTGAAGGAAGCCGGGCAGCTCGGCCATGCAACTCTCGTCTGCAAATTCAGAGCTTCGGCTACCTGCAGCCAAAACACATGGGCTGAGAAGATGGATGACTCATTTGTTTGATTCTCTGAATGACTGAAACTGTATAGCAAAAAAAAAAAAAAAAATTTGTCAACGGGTACTAAACATTTTCTGAGAAGATGGTATATATACCTTCGATTGGTTATGCAACTTCAATTAATCTGCTCCCTCCCAATTGATCTGCTAAAAGTCAAAACACATGTATGATTGCTTATTAACCATAGGGGCCTTACTTGATCAAATCGCATTGTCTTTGTACATGGTTATCATGACAAGATGCACATGTAAAAATTTCTCTGTTTACATGTACAGTCTATTGGAATATGATTGTATCAGATAATGAAGTTATAAATGCTCCATTATGCTCTGAAACCAACCATGGTAGTGCCTTCCATGTCATCGTTACGAACAATATTTGATTTCTTTATTATGTTAGGTCATTAGTGAACGAATACACCGATTGCACCAAAAGGACCACTGCAAATTTAAATGAAATGTTATTGATCGAGATAAATTCATAATAGTATCATCTAAATGTTACATGTGCACACATGATTATTGCTTTGTTACAACACACAAGACTCATTTACCAGTGCCATTATCCCTTGAAATAAATATATAGGAAAATAATAGCACTCATGTTAAGTCATGTACTTGAACTCGGGTGGGACACCATAAGAAAGAACTATGGCCCTGTCTAGGACCTCTTCTCTGTCCTATTTTGGAGGGATAAAAGCGATTAAGGCCCCAGCGCGACACATCTCAATCGATTCCCACTATCGCATGCCCAAGCAGATACCTAAATACAACGTGAAAGGGGCTTTTCCCCATAACGGTCCACGAGCAGCTTTTCCCCATCACGCATGCACATCTTCTTCTTATCCGGACGGTTGCTCCCACGGTCCCACCTCCTTCTCCTGTGCAGTTGTCTTGCTCCTCCTCCGCCCCGTCGCTCGTGCTCCGCGTAGTCGTCTAACTCCTTAGCCCCGCCGCTCGTGCTCCTCGCCACTGAGAGGGCCTTCTCGCACTCCTCCATGCAATGCTCGTCTTCCATGTTGCCACCAGGGTCCGCCTCCTCACACTCGTTCTCCATTGGGCGTGTCGGGCTTATTTTTTGGGCTGGGCCCCAGGCTGGGCAGGCCGCCAACGGAGCTGACAGTGTAAAATAGCCGAAATAAATATTTTGGACTGGACTTGGGCCGAGGCCGCAAAATGAGTTCTAGCAACAAATGACAAATCTAATGAAGGATATTGGCAGGCCCATATTTTGAGAGTAGTACAAGTACTGTATGCTGCCCGGCCCGCATACGGAATACTCCTACATCAGGACCAGGAGTCCAGGGCCGCAAAATAAAGTGCTGTATTTTTTTCGCTGACATCAGCCCTAGCCGTTCTCCCGACCCGTCCCGACTCCGCACCAGCCAGGAACAAAGCCTCGGCAGCCGTTGGATCGTGTGCCACGTCAGCGATCCGCGTGCCTGTTCTTGTCACGGACGGCCAGGATCGTCCGCAGCCCATCAGCCGAAACCCAGTCCTCCCTCGCCCCCTGTTCGTCTCCGCCGCTTACAAATTCGCCCAAAATTTGCCCGCAATTTTCCTCCACCAAGCACCAATCCAATTAGATCCGATTTCGTCGAGATGAAGCCGTCCGTGGAGGTGGAGGCGGACGAGCGAGCTGCGGAGATTAAGAAGACAGCGGCGGCGGCCAAGAAAGCAGCTGAGGAGGTTGAGGTGGAGGAGGTGGTGGACGGGGAGGAGGAAGATGGGGAGGAGGCGGTCGATGGGGAGGATGACGGTGACGAGGACGACGACGGGGAAGGCGGAGAGGAGGACGACGATGAGGAGGTGGAGGGGGAGGAGAAGGAGGCGGCAGGGGTTGTAGAGATCTCCGACGAAGACGACGACGACGACGACGGGGAGGCGGACGACGACGACGGGGACGACGACGACGACGACGACGATGATGACGACGACGACGACGAAGAGGTCGTCGGTGAAGACGACCGGGAGGTATAATTTCTTAATTAATCTCGTAAAATTATTATTTTTACTATTTTAGTCTCGTTCTGTGCTGCTAGATCTATGTTCACTGTGTGTATCTGCAGCAATTTCTTCTCAGATAAATTTAGATCTGCTTAGCTTTTTTTTTTTCGCAAGGATTTGTGTGTTTCTGGTCTGTTTTCTTGTAAAAAATCACCTCTAGTCTAGGTCCAAAATTCTCGCTCTGTTTTTCCTTTAAATTTTACCAGTCTTCAGATTTTGCCGTAAATTTTACGTAGAAAAATTAGTACATCTTCTGATTTTTTTCTGTAAATTTTAGCTGGAGAAATCCAGTCTCCAGGTTTCCCTTGTGCTTTTTGGAGATGATGATTCTTATCAGAGGCTGTTTCTGAGGCGAGCCAAGAGCTCTCCCTGTGCTGCAAAAGAACTGATTGCTGTTCTGATCCAAAGCACATGTTGCGTACTTGTTCATGGAGCGATTTGAGCAGACTGTTTCTCACAGGGGCCCATCCAAGAACTTTTTTTATAACTTTATTATTGTTTTTTTTTGGTAAATCTAAACAACTGAAAATTACCCATAAGGTTTTCTTGCAGCCTGTCTGCTTTTAGAGATGATGATTCATATCAGAGGCTGTTTCTGAGGATGATCCCAGAGCTCTACCAGTGCTGCAAAAAAAAAAAAAACTGATTTGCCGTTCTGATCAAAAGCACTTGCTCCGCTTTCTTCCTTTTGTTGTTAAAAAAAACCTAGTGGCTTCAATTCCTGGTCAAATGCAAAAAGTAGTTATCCGATGCTTTAGAATCTGTTCTCAAAGAGTTTGGCATCTTATCTTATCCTACATGCTTTAGTTGGGAAATGACGAGAACCCTATTCCACTGAGGGTAGATAATTGTAATCCACCTCTTGATTATACCTTGCACGTCAGTCTGATCCCATGCCAGATCTTCATCTTTTATTGGATCTAGTTGTTTCATTTCATATCTTTTCTTATTGATCTTTCCTTGGGAAGTTACGGCCTTTCTGTATTGTAAATCATTGAGGCTGTATTTGGGAAGTGACGAACAACTTATTTCAGATATCCTTTTATGGATTTATTTGTGTACTGATATGATGAAAATTTGCACGTCAGTCTGATCCCATAAACTTGACTGATCCTTTTTGGATCTGATCTGATTTGATTGAACTGGCTTTATGAAAGTAAAGGCGAAGCTGATGGTGCCTGATTTACTTTGATCTGTACTATGGCACTTACACTGCTTGTTGGAATTTTAATTTTGCAGGAGGAGCTGGGAACTGAGTATCTGGTTCAGCCCCTTGGCCGGGCGGAAGATGAAGAACACTCAAGCGACTTCGAACCGGAAGAAAATGGTGATGGTGCTGAGGATGAGGAGATTGACGAAGAAGATGCCGACGATGGTGAGGATTCTGTGAAGGCACAGTCCTCTACCAAGAGGAAGAGGTCAGGCGATGATAAAGACGACGGGGATGATGATGGCGACGATGACGATGATGGGAGGCCACCATCAAAGCGATAGTTGTGCCCGGATCTGTCGTCTTCTGGAGAGTCGAGGGAGAGTGCCAAGAAAGAAAATAGAGAAGAATCCTCTGCAGAAGGTGTTGGTAAATGATGGGGTCGGTTAGGTTTAGGTTTGTAGCTGCTGAAGCTTGTGTAGCGTCTAATTCAGGTCCGCGGATGCTTTGTTCCGTATCTTGTCATGATAAAAGGTTTCTCTTGTACTGGAAATCTCTTCTGTTGCTTTCTGCGCGCTGTTTGCCTTGTGTCCACATCTTTTTTATAAACAGAAACGAAACAGAATGGCGTGCCGGCGAGGACGGGTGCGGGATGGCGTGCTCCTGCCATGGCCAGGCGCGCGACTCCAGCGTGAGGACGGTGAAGTTGGCGAGCTCGGGGTGGCGGAGCAGCGACGTGGTGCCGTACAACCGGGGGTCGGCGTCGTGCGGCTGCGAGTAGTCCCAGGCCGTGCCGGCGAGGAGGAAGAAGTGGTCGTGGCCGTGGCGGCGCGCCAGGACCCGCGGCTGGTGGCGCGCCAGGAAGCGCGCGAGCGGCAGCCCGTGGAGCGCCGAGGAGTTGAGGAGGTCCGGGTGGAGGACGTACGGCAGCGCGTCCAGCGCCGCGTAGTAGGGGAGGAACACGGCGTCGGCCTGGGCGGGGCGGGCCACGAGGCGGCGGTGGAAGAAGGGCTCCAGCTGCCGGGCGTCCGTGCGGTACCAGGAGCGGGTGCCGTTGTGGGTGCGCGGGCCCAGCCCGTGATTGGCGAGGGAGGTGCACGCCGGGACTGACTTTGAGTCTGGATCCGCCAGCGGGAACGCCGTGGCGCCGTGGCCCAGCCCGTGTTGAAGCTCGCGGGGAGGTGCAGGATGTGGATGCGGCGGCCGGCGCAAGGGTCTGGGCCGTCTGGCACTGGCAGTGGCAGGCTGGTGTTCTTGGGGGTGTTTCCTTCGGGGACTAATTTTTAGTGCCCGCTATATATGTGGATGTTTGACAATAATTTGGAGTATTAAATATATTCTAACTACAAAACTAATTACATAGACGTAGATTAATTTGCGATGAATGAATAGTGTAATTAGTGTATGATTTGATAATGTGATGTTATAGTAAATATGCGCTAATGATGAATTAATTATGCTTAATAGATTCGTCTCGTAAATTAGTTTCTATCTATGTAATTAGTTTTATAATTAGAATATATTTAATACTTTAAATTAGTGTCAAACATCCGATGTGACATAGACTAAAAATTAGTCCACGTAACCAAACACCCCTTAGTTCTTGTTCTGGCTGGTGGAGGTGGCAATAATGACGGCGGAGCAGAGGATGACGACGAGGATGAGAGGCGCGCCGCCATTGTCGACCAATTCCCTCTGCGGGTGAGGGTGATGCGCTTGCGCGGTGGAGAGGAATGGCCGCCACGCCATGCCCAAGTTGCCTAGTCCAAGGAGGAAAGCACCATGCACACCACTGACCACACCACACGTCTCGGTGGATCTGGGCCACCGCGGCAGGGCAGTTAAACACACATACTCTAGTTAGGAGTAGACGACTAGTTTGTAAGTCATGGGTATGGCGCCACCAACGACGACGACCACGACGACGACGACAAAAAGCATCGCCTTTCTTTGCCAGCTGTTTTTTCTTTTTTGGAACCTATACCAATTTATTATGGTTGTGTTCGATGGATATCCGTGTTCTTGTAAAAATGTTTCAAATTCACATTCTCTTGTGAATGTTTTCAATGATGATTTAGCCGGTTGGTTAGATTTTGATTTTCAAATAAATTGTTTTTTATTAAAAAACATGTAAATAAAAATATGCTTAAAAAATCTAAAACTTTTTATAGGTGCAGATCAACTTAAATACAATTCAGTTTAACTTATATTGCACTTACAAAGCATAGCCGGAAAAAAATACGGTCTCTATGTACCAAACGCTGCTATGTATGTGTGTTTGGCAGCGATTGTCACAGAATCGGAACCGTTTCTTCATGCCAAACAGCCCAGTATCATATATATTCATTCGATCAGGCCCAACCCAGCCCAATGAGAATGATGGACCTCTGATCGCCTCTTTGGTCTCCTACATACGAGAGATGGCTAGGTTACAACAGGCCTTCCCTTGAAATAAAAGGTGTCCAATTTACGACATGTATTTCAGGCTTGGCTGCAAAAGAGCGTGCGGCGAATTAGACCGGTTAAAAAAAAAACCTTCCTTCTCCTTAAAAAAAAACCTTCCTTGCTGGTAACCTAGAAAATAGTGATAGTGCTGTATTCTATCTTAATAGCAATGTCTTGGTGAGGTCAAAGAGAAGAACATAAATTTACCCACTTATGGCTGTGTTATTTACAGTTACAGAGGATTCTGAAATATATATATAATCTCCTTAGAAGTGAATTTAACCCAGGAAATAGTAATAGTGATAGGGTTGTCTTCAACCTTAATAGCAATGTGCTGGTGAGGTCAAATCAAATAAAAGAACATGAATTTGCCCACAACATGAATTTTCCCACTTATGGCAGTGTTATTTGCAGTTACAGAAATGTTCTGAATATATATGTATTTCAAGCTTGGCTGCGAAAGAGCATGTGGCGAGTTAGACCGGTTAACAAAAAAAAATCTTCCTTCCGCTAAAAAAAGCAAAAAAAACCCTTCCTTGCTGGTAACCTAGAAAATAGTGATAGTACTGTCTTCTATCTTAATAGCAATGTCTTGGTGAGGTCAAAGAGAAGAACATAAATTTACCCACTTATGACTGTGTTATTTGCAGTTACAGAGGGTTTTGAAATATATATAATCTCCTTAGAAGTGAATTTAACCTAGAAAATAGTGATAGAGCTGTCTTCAGCCTTAATAGCAATGTGCTGGTGAGGTCAAATCAAATAAAAGAACATGAATTTGCCCACAACATGAATTTTCCCACTTATGGCAGTGTTATTTGTAGTTACAGAAAGGTTTTGAATATATATGTATTTCAGGCTTGGCTGCAAAAGAGCCTGTGGCGAGTTAGACCGGTTAACAAAAAAACCTTCCTTTCTACAAAAAAATGCAAAAAAAAACCTTTCTTGATGGTAACCTAGAAAATAGTGATAGTGCTATCTTCTATCTTAATTGCAATGTCTTGGTGAGGTCAAAGAGAAGAACATAAATTTTCCCACTTATGGCTGTGTTATTTGTAGTTACATAGGGTTATGAAATATATATACTCTCCTTAGAAGTGAATTTAACCCAGAAAATAGCGATAGTGCTGTCTTCAACCTTAGAGCCTGTTTGGTAGAGCTTCAGCTCTAAAAAAACAGCTCTAGATCCACAGATCCAGGTAGCTCCACCGTGGATCTAAGATCCCAAAAAGCATTTAGTATAGCTCCACTCTTGGCTCTATCTCACTGGCAATCTGGGCCCACGCGTCAGAATAAAAAAAAAAAAAAAAATGTTTTCTTCCTCGCGGAGTCACGGTGGGTGTGGCTTCGCATGTGTGGGTGGCACGGCCTTACGCACAGGCGGGCACGGCATACTCGACGCCCGTGCGGCCTTACCAGTGGCCGAGCATGGCCTCGCCGGGGTGCTGAGTCGGGGCGCCACCACACGGCCATGACCAGGCTCTACGTCGAGGACGGAGCGCGCCACGGTAGTTGGCCATGGGTCACGGCTAGGCGCAGCGGCCCTGGGCGGGGGGAGGGGTGGGGCTCGTCGAGGAGCGGGCACGACCGGCCTAGGAAGGGGCGGCGCCGGAACAACTGGCCTAGAGTCCATCGTCGGGGAGCGGACGGTGGAGGTATGACGCGATGGGAAGAAGAGGCGATAGGGAAAAGAAAAAGATCGAAGTGGTATGTTGTGTAACGAGTGGTAGTGGTAGGTAATTTTCTCCAACTCCACCAAAATTGATTTCATGGTGAGGTCCTCCACCAAATCCACTGATCTGGGGGCAGATCCACTTTTTTTTAGCAGATCTGTGGCACGACCAAAACCAGCTCTGCTCCAATCCACTTTTTTTGAGCAGATCTATGGTGGAGCCAAAAACAGCTCCGCTCCATATTTTTTCAGCCAAACGGCTCAAAAATATGGATCTAAAAGTCAAACGGTTTTAGATCCAGTAGTTTTGTAGTAAAATAAATTTTAGAAGACGACCAGTGCTAACTTGACATACGTCCTACAGTCAACACCGCTATGATGCCACTTTGTAGCACCCGGTTTTAAGAACAAAAGAAGATACGCACCATATATGAGCCCAGAAAGTCAAATCTCATATATATCTACAAATAAGGGTAATATCAAAAGACAATGTTCAATATATAACGTACTTGGTATAAAGATATAACCTTAGACAATAAACAGCGGAAAGACAACTTCGATCTTCGGGTGAAGACTTCAATTCCACAGGGACAACTGACTGATTGATCACAAGTTTAATTCCTCCAAACTCTAGCAATCTGGTACCTATCCGAAATTTTTTCAAAGATTTAAAAAGTAAAGCAAGCGTAAGTACATGTCGTACTCAACAAATATAACATGGGGTTCATGAGGCTCAAAAGGTTGACACTGGTTTAACTGCGATTAGCTTTTAATAAGTCATCTTTTAGCAATTGGGTGACAACAAATTTATCCATAAGCCCATATAAATACATGATCAGGTAAACATGAATAATGAATAGCATAAACAGTAATTATTAGTGAGCATCTTCATCATCAGTATCATTAGTGTTCATCATCATTCCATAAGGGTTCTAAGGCCGCTCGTGACCGTGAGCACGACTGATATACCAGTTTTACACTCTGTAGGGGTTATACATTTTCACTGTAAGTCGTGATTTATCCTTTCGCCCAAGATAGCTAATCTCTTGACCCACTTCCAAGGAAGTTCGGCATGGTTCACTATAAAGCCTTTCAAAGGTTCGTCTAACAAGTTAGAGCCATTAGATTCACTCGACAAACAGATGTAGAGCCCCCCCCTTCTCGATGGTACAATGACGCGCATCCTATACACAAGGAGGGACAGAGGTCGTACTATACCCGATTCGTTAAGCCATTCTTACGTCAATAAAGGTAACCACTAACAAGCTAGAAAAGGTCCTCATACTGAGCTAAAGCTAGAGTTATGTAGCCCTCACAGCTGTACTGTAAGTCTTGGATGATCACTTATAGATAAGTCCTTAGAGAGAGGAATTTAAAGCACCATAAAAATAGCCCAATGCTCTAGCCCTCTGGTTTCATGTTGCTAAAAAACATCTTTTAGTGTTTATTGCATATACCATTAGTCAAGTTACAAGATCATGGTCTTTAATTGAGCACTATCATCATACTACTCAATGCATATTCCATAGGAGACAAGGTATAAGTTTAATTTTAGGGAATCCCTATCAAGGTGACATATGCAATATGAATTAAATGTATTAAAGTTGATACGAAACAATAATGATCCCATGCTATATTTGCCTTTTACACTTGCTTTCCACTCAAGGCAACTGCTCATAGAAATTCTTCAGTCCTCTCTTTTGTAGCTTCTGGCCACCGGCGCTTACGGACAACTCTTCTTCTACTCGTAGGTCGTAGCAACCAAGCATACCAATATACAAGCAAACAAATAGAGACAACTAAGAGCAGTACACCACACGAGACAAAACAACGTACTAAAGAGAGCTCGTTACGATGGTTGAGAGAATGCAAGAAACGTAACAGAACTATCATAAAGAAGAAAAGACTACAAAATAGTTTTATATATTACAAAAGAAACATCTACGAGCTTGATTCATGTTAATTAAAAAAAGGGAAATTTTGCTATTGGACA